ACTGGGGATGGTATCGATGGGGAATTGGGGTTTGATTTGGGGGGATTTGGGGTCACTCATCCAACCCTCACTGGGGATGGTATCGATGGGGAATCGGGGTTTGATTTGGGGCATTTTGGGGTCACTCATCCTTCCCTTGTTGGGGGTGGTATCGATGAGATCTTGGGTTTGGTTTGGGGAGTTTTGGGGTCCCTCATCCCACCCTCGTTAGGGATTTTTATCAATAAGAATTTGGGGTTTGATTTGGGGGATTTGGGGTCACTCATCCCACTCCTGTTAGGGATGGTATCAATGGGGATTGGGGTTTGATTGGGAGATTTGGGGTCCCTCATCCCACCCTCATTAGGGATGGTATCGATGAGGGATCAGGGTTTGATTTTGGGGAGTTTTGGGGTCCCTTATCCCGCCCTCATTAGGGATTTTTATCAATAAGATCTCGGGGTCTGATTTGGGGGTGTTTGGGGTCCCTCATCCCGCCCTCATTAGGGATTTTTATCAATAAGAACTCGGGGTCTGATTTGGGGTCCCTTCCCCACCCCTTTGCCAGGGGTCCCTCCTGTCCCCTCCCTCGGCCTCGCCCTTCCCCTCCTCCTTCCCCACGGGAAAAGGGCATGGAAATGTGGAAATCCGCCGGGTTGGGATATTTCCCCTCATTTTTAGGGCATCTAAATATGGAAATCCGCTGGTTTGGGGATAATCCCCTAATTTTTAGCACATCTAAATACGGAAATTTGCCAGTTTGGGGATATTCCCCTAATTTTTAGCACATCTAAATATGGAAATTTACCAGTTTGGGGATATTCCCCCTCATTTTTAGACTGAAGACTATGGAAATATGGAAATATGGCCAATTGTGTATATTTCCTTATATTTTTTTAGACTGAAGAGCATCTAAATGTAGAAATTCGCCGGTTTGGGGATATTCCATCTCATTTTTAGGCTGAAGAGTATTTGAATATGGAAATTTGCCAGTTTGGGGATATTCCCCCTCATTTTTAGCTCATCTAAAAATGGAAATCTGACGCTTTTTTGATTTTTTTTTCCTCATTTTTCAGCTGGATAAAGGCGGGGCCGTCCCTGGGGAGGCCAAAAGGATGCTCAGATCCCAAAACAGCCCAAAATCAGGCAGGGCCGAGCTTTCCTCAAGGGGAGGAGGAGGAGGAGGAGGAGGAGGAGGAGGAGGAGGAGGAGGAGGAGCAGAAATGTGGAATCGCAGGAACAAATGGCGCTTTGATAGACAAAATCTGGCAGCTCCAAAGCGGCCGCCGAGCGCTCTGCAGCAGCCGGGGAGAGTAAATAAACCCCCAAAAATTCAATTTTCTCCTCTTCCTCCCCAAAACTCTCGTCCTGGGGACCCTCGGAGCGGTGAGAGAAGGGCGGGGGGTGCTGAAGGCTCCCGGCACCAAAATTCGCCTTTTTCCTCCCCGTGGGAAGGTGGTTTAGGGATTTAAATATGAAATATTCGCGGGTATCGGATCGGGATGGAAACGTTTTGGAATTGCTGGCTCGTTTTTTCCTGGAGAGAAGATTTTTTTGGGGAAAAAAAAAAAAAAAAAAAGATAATTTGGAGTCAAAAGGTGGCTGTAAAATCAGCCCGCCCCCTCTTTGTTAGAGCCGAGAGAGATCATCCACAGCAATTTCCAAAACATCTGTCGAGCCTGTGCCTCCTTTTATTTCCCTTTTATTTCTTTATTTTATTTTATTTTATTTTATTTTATTTTATTTTATTTTATTTTATTTTATTTTATTTTATTTTATTTTATTTTATTTTATTTTATTTTATTTTATTTTATTTTATTTTAAATTTTATTTTATTTTTATTTTATTTTTAAAATTTTTTTAATTTTTTTTTTCTTTTTTTTTAGGGCCCGAAGTTTTTTTTTTTTTTGTTTTTGTTTTTGTTTTTGTTGTTGTTGTTTTTTAGGGCCAGCCCAACCCCGGCTCTGCCTCTTTTAACCCCAAATAAAAAAAAATCCCAAATTTTCCGAGCGTTCCCTGGAGAGGGGAAATGATCCCACCCAGGCACTGAAAACACCAAATTCAGCCCAAAAATCTCTGTGGGAGTTGGGGGGAAACCCCAAAAACCCAACGGGCGACCTGGGTTTGCTTCACCCTAAAAAAAAAAAGGGGCCTGAGGGAGTTTTTGGGCTGCCCCGCTCATTTTTGGGGTTCCAAATCCCCCGGGATGGATTTTGGGGTTCCAAATCCCCCCCGGGATGGATTTTGGGGTTCCAAATCCTCCCCGGGATGGATTTTGGGGTTAAAATCCTTCCTGGGATGGGTTTTGGGGTTAAAATCCTCCCTGGGATGGGTTTTGGGGTTCCAAATCCCCCCCGGGATGGGTTTTGGGGTTCCAAATCTCCCCTGGGATGGATTTTGGGGTCCCAAATCCACCCTGGGATGGATTTTGGGGTACAAAAATTCCCCCTCCAGATGGATTTTGGGGTTCCAAATCCCCCCTGGGATGGATTTTGGGGTTAAAATCCCCCCTGGGATGGGTTTTGGGGTAAAAACCCTCCCTGGGATGGGTTTTGGGGTTAAAATCCCCCCTGGGATGGATTTTGGGGTTTAAATCCCCCCTGGGATTTTGGGGTTTTGGGGTTGGAAAAGAGAGGAGGAATAAAAGGGGATTTTGGGGAGGAATAAAAGGGGTTTGGGGTTTCTGGAGTAGTAAAAGAGGAGGAATAAAAGGGATTTTGGGGGTTTTGGGGTGGAAAAGAGAGGAGGAATAAAAGGGGATTTTGGGGAGGAATAAAAGGGGTTTGGGGTTTTGGGGGTTGGAAAAGAGGGGAAAATAAAAAAAGCCCCCAGGCCCATCCCTTACCCCTCCTTCTCTCCCGTTCTTTTGGTCACCCCAACGCGTGGAAATTTTCTTTTTTTTTGAGTTTTTACCCCAAATCCTCATTTTTTTCCCCACGTGTTTTTGCAGCTCCGGCCGTTTCAAAGGCCGGGAATTGCTCTGAGAGAAAAGAGGAGGAGGAGGAGGAGGAGGAGGATGGGGATGAAGGGCGGGATCGGGATGTGGGAGGCCGGGAACGGCCCCGGAATTCGCGTGGGCTCCGCGCTGCCTTTGTGTTGCTTTTCCACCCCTTTATCCCCTTTATTTTTGCTTTTTATTTGGATTTTTAAATTATTTTTCCCCCTTAAATTCAAGATTTTCCCATCCCCGAAGCAGCACCGTAAAATGTTAAAATGAAGAAAAAAACCCACCCCGCTTTGATGGGATACAATCAATAAATAAATGAATAAATAAATGAACAGCACGGAGGAGAATGAAACCAGAATCCAGGGAATATTTCCCGGAATTCCTCTGGAATTGTTGGCTGCGGGCGATTTCTTTTGTCTCCTCTCAGGGCTCACGAGGAGATTTTGAAACCTCATTACAAAGCAGGGAAGAAGCCAATGATTTATGGAGGAAAACAAATAAACAACCACAAAAAAAGCGCTTTTCTTTGAATGAAATCCAGAGCAAACACGAGTTGGTCGCTTTTATAAAGACTTTTATTTACTCTATGAAAATAATATACAATAAATAATTTGCCCTTTGCTATGAAAGGATTTGAATAAATAATCTACATCTAAAACGTAAAAAGAGGAAGGAAAATTCCCCTGATTTTTTTTTTTAATTTTTTTTAATATATTTTATTATGAAATCTAAAAGTCTCCTTCTGATTCCTGAGAAAGTTGCTGGGGAGGAGGATTTATAAATTAAATTTTTTTTTTTTTTTTAATCCTGAGGGGCTGAAATTGCCTCAGAATCACCAGCTGCTTCCTTGGAAATAAATAAGGGGAAAAAAAAATGTATATAAATAAAAGGATGGCAAAATACCTGAATTTTAGCAAACTCAGCTGCTCTTTCACCTCTGGAATAAATAAATAAATGACTCTTGGGAGGAGGTTTGGGCACGCAGAGCTCTCAGACGGAAGGGGAGGAGTGAGAAATTTCTTCAGGTTGATTTTGGGGGGGTTCCTCTTCTTTTAGGGCCGATTTTGGGGGGGTTCCCTCCTTTTAGGGCAGATTTTGGGGTGTTGGCTCTTGTTTTAAGGCAGATTTTGGGGTTTCCTCTTCTTTTAGGACCTATTTTGGTGTGTGAGCTCTTGTATTGGGGCAGATTTGGGGGTTCCCTTTATTTTAGGGCAGATTTTGGGGGTTCCACTTCTTTTAAGCCAGATCTTGCTGGTTTCCCCCTCTTTTAGGCCAGATTTTGGTGGGGGGGGTTCCCCTTATTTTAGGCCAGATTTTGGTGTTTCCCCCTCCTCCCAGGGCAGACTTTGAAGCTCCCCCTTGTCTCATGCCGGATTTTGGTATTTTCCCTTTATTTTAGGGCAGATTTTGGGGTTTCCCCTTCTCTCCTGCCGGATTTTGGTGTTTTCCCTTCTCTCCTGCCAGACTTTGATGTTTTCTCTTCTCTCCTGCATATTTTGGTGTTTCCCTCTTCTCTCCTGCCAAATTTTGGCGTTTCCCCCTTCTCTCCTGCCAAATTTTGGTGTTTTCCCTTCCCTGCCAAATTTTGGTGTTTCCCCTTCTCTCCTGCCAAATTTTGGTGTTTCCCCTTTCTCTCCTGCCAAATTTTGGTGTTTTCCCTTCTCTCCGGGCAGAATTTGGTGTCTTCCCTTCTCTCCTGCCAAATTTTGATGTTCCCCCTTCTCTCCTGTCAGATTTTGGTGTTTCCCCTTCTCTCTTGCCAAATTTTGGTGTTTTCCCTTCTCTCCGGGCAGAATTTGGGGTTTTCCCTTCTCTCCTGCCAGATTTTGGCATTTTCCCCTTCTCTCCAGGCACATTTTGTTGTTTTCTCCTCTCCTGCATATTTTGGTGTTTCCCCTTCTCCCCTGCCAAATTTTGGTGTTCCCCCTTCTCTCCGGGCAGAATTTGGTGTTTCCCCCTTCTCTCCGGGCACATTTTGTTGCTTTCCCTTCTTTCCTGTATATTTTGGGGTTCCCCCCTCCTCCCCCGCCCGCTTTTGGGGCGCTGCCCCCCAAATCCCCCCAAATCCCCTCGGCTAGGGCAGCTCCCAGCGCTGCAGCTCCGCGGAGCAGAGCGCGCTGCCCAGCAGCTCCAGCTCCTCCTGCCAGCAGCGCAGGGGGCTGGCGGGGAGCCCCCCGAGATCCGAGAGCCCCCCCAGGTCCGAGAGCCCCCCCAGCTCCGAGAGCCCCCCCAGGTCCGAGAGCCACCCCAGGTCCGAGAGCCCCCCGAGATCCGAGAGCCCCCCCAAATCCGAGAGCCACCCCAAATCCTCCTCCTGGGGCGGGGACTCGCTGCCGCCCGTCCCGCGCCGCTCCGCGCTCGGCCCCGCGCTGGTTCCGCGCTCCGCGGGGCTGTCCCGGGGGTCCCGGTCCCCATCCCCGGGGGGCTCCCGGCGGTGCCGCCGCTGCCGTTTGTGCTTCATGCGGCGGTTCTGGAACCACACCTTGACCTGGCGCTCGGTCAGGTCCAGCAGCGCCGCGATCTCCACCCGCCGCGGGCGGCACAGGTACTGGTTGAAGTGGAATTCCTTCTCCAGCTCCAGCAGCTGCGTGTTGGTGTAGGCGGTGCGGAGCCTCCTGGAGCCGCTGCTGTCCGACAGAGCCTCTGGGAAGTGCCAAAAAAATAAATAAATTAAAAATAAATATAATTATCGGCAGCAAATCCAGCGCGCTGGAGGAGTTCCGCGCCGGGGCAGCCGCTGCGCCAGGGGGAGAATTGAAATTTATTTGTGAAATAAAAGTTGAATTCAACTTTTGGCACTCTGGAGAAGTTCTCTGCCCCGAGGGAAAAAAGGGATTTTGCTCCCTGGTCTCTCCCTTCAGAGCCTTTCCCTGCCCGCCGCTCTGGCCGATAAAGGGAATTTCAAATTATTCCTTCTTGCGAACCCTGCAGAATTCTCTGCCTCGAGGGAAAAAAGGGATTTTGCCCCCTGGTCTCTCCCTTTAGGGCCCTTCTTCCCTCTCTGCTGCCCTGGCGGATAAAGGGAATTTCTAACTTCCTTCTAAATCCCTAAAATCTAGGAAATGTCTAAATTTCTAAAATGTAGGAAATGTCTGAATTTCTAAATTCCTTCTTTCCTGTTTGTTGTTGGTTTTTGGTTTTTTTTTTTTGGTGGGAGGGGCTTTTTGGGGTTTGTTTTGGTTTTTTGGTATTTTGGGGTTTTTTTTACCTTTTCCCGGCACTTAGATTTCACTATTCCCCTTTTCCCCGGCCAATGAGCTCCCTTCGTCCTGCCCGATTTTACCCGAGCCGTGGAAATCCTGGAATTGTTCCTGCAGCACTTTATCCCGAGGGAAAGAGGCCGAGCAGCGAGAGGCTGCTCCTTTTTCTGCTCCTTTTTCTGCGGGGGGGGTTCGGGGAGGGTTTTGGGGCTCATAAATTCATTTTTTGTAGGACCAACCCTCGCTCTTTCACCTCCCACCCTGCTGCCAGCAGCCCCCGCCTTCCCCACCCATTTCCTCCCCCCCTCCGCGCTTCTTGGGGGGGTTTTGTTGTCTTTGCTTTTCCCCTTTCAAAATTTTTTTCCTTTTTTTTTTTTATTTTTCCTTTTTAATTTTTCCCCCCTTTTTTTTTCCTTTTTTTTTTTAATTTTCCTTTTTTTTTAAATTTTTAAATTTTTTTTTTTTTTTTTGCCCCCGTAGGCTGTAAAAACCCGCAGCTCTGGCAGAGAAAACCGAACAAACCGAGTTGCAAACCCTCTCTTCTCTCCGAACCCCCACCCCGGACCCTTCACTCTCGGGATTTTTTTGGCAGAAGCTGCAGAAATTTGTTATTTTTTTAGGGATGGAAGCAGCAGAACCCCCCACCCCCCAAACCCCGAGTTTGGGACATCCCTCCGTGAACCCCACAGTGACACAACCCCGGGGGCAGAGCGGGGGGGATGAGCTCGGGATGTTTTGGGGCAGAATCGCTGATTTTCCACAGTTCCCCCCACCCCTTCCCCCCAACCCCGGCCGTACGAACCTGCGGGCAGCGGCGGCGAGGAGGAGGAGGAGGAGGAGGAGGAGGAGGGTGGGGAGGAAGAGGCCGGAGCCGGGGTGGGTTTTTTGGCCGGTTTCTTCTCCTTCATCCAGGGGAAGCTGGCGGCGCGGGGCCCGGGCGGGGCCGGGGGCTGCGGGGCGCGGGGGTCGCGGCTCCCGAGGAGGCTGAGCCCCGGAGGAGGAGGAGGAGGAAGGAACGTCGGGTCCTTGATGGATGAAGTTTGAAACGCCTCCAGGACAGCGGGCAGAGACGTCAGGCACTCGGCCAGCGAAGGCTGGCTGTTTATAAACCCGATCTCCCTCTCAAATTCAAAATTCATGGCTTTTTGCGGGGTTAAAAAGCGGGAGGGAGGCGGGGGAGAGGGAGGAGGAGGAGGAGGAGGGGGAGAGGGAGAGAAATCTGAAAGGCTCGGGTTTTTGATGATGACGGTCCTCGGGCTTTTTATAATTCTTATTTTGCTGCCAATACAGCGCAGGGGACCCGGCTCTGCTAAACTCGGGGCTGGGGCGAAATCGCAGCCGATTCTCGTCACATGGGCGGCCCCGGCCAATGGCAGGCGGGGCCTGTGGCAAACGGAAAGCGTTATTTGCTTTAATTGATTTTAAAAATAAATAAATAAAATAGAGGGGAAAGCGAGAGAGAGGGGAGCCCCAGAAAGGCCAACACCATCAGCAGCACCCCAGAATCAACATCCTTCATTGGCTGTGGGCTCTTCCTTCCTTCCTGGAATCCTTCCTGGAATCCTTCCTGGAGTCTTTCCTGGAATTCTTCCTGGAGCCTTTCCTGGAATCCTTCCTGGAGTCTTTCCTTCCTGTCTGTCTGTCTGTCTGTCCCCACGCTCCCTGTGCTTTTTGCCTTCTGCTCCCTGTCCTGCCTGTGTTTCTTTCCCTGCCTGCTCTGCCTGTCCTTCCTGCTGTCCCCTGTCCTTCCTGCTGTCCCCTGTCCTTTCCTGATGTCCCCTGTCCTTCCTGCTGTCCCCTGTCCTTCCTGCTGTCCCCTGTCCTTCCTGATGTCCCCTGTCTCTTCCTGGTGTCCCCTGTCCTTCTTGATGTCCCCTGTCCTTCCTGCTGTCCCCTGTCCTTCCTGCTGTCCCCTGTCCTTTCCTGATGTCCCCTGTCCTTCCTGTTGTCCCCTGTCCTTCCTGCTGTCCCCTGTCCCTTCCTGCTGTCCCCTGTCCTTCCTGATGTCCCCTGTCCTTCCTGCTGTCCCCTGTCCCTTCCTGCTGTCCCCTGTCCTTCCTGGAGGTTCTTGTCCTGCCTGTTGTTCCTTTTCCTGCTGCTCCCTGCCCTTCCTGCCTTTCCCGCTGTCCCCTGTCCTGCCCTCCGTGTCCTTCCCGCTGTCCCTTCTCCTGCCCTTCCTCTCCTTCCTGCTGTTCCCTCTCCAGCCCGATGATTCCCATCCTGTCTGTCTTTCCTGCCCTTCCCGATGTTCCCTGTCCTGCTTTCCCTGCCTGTCCTGTCTGTCCTTCCCGAATTCCCTCTCCCGCTTTTCCTGCCCATCCTGCCCGTGCCCCGTGTCCTGCCTGTCCTGTCTGTCCTTCCCATCCTTCCCTCTCCATTCCCTCTCCATTCCCTGTCCATTCCCTGTCCATTCCCTGCCCGTTCCAGCCCCATTCCAGCCCCATTCCAGCCCCATTCCAGCCCTGTTCCTGCCCTCTTCCAGCCCCATTCCAAACCCATTCCAGCCTTGTTCCAAACCCATTCCAACCCCATTCCAAACCAATTCCAGCCCGGTTCCCTGCCCATTCCCTGCCCATTCCCGCCCCATTCCCTGCCCGTTCCAGCCCCATTCCAGAGCCATTCCAGCTCCATTCCAAACCCATTCCAAACCCATTCCAAACCCATTCCAGCCCCATTCCCTGCTCATTCCAGCCTCATTCCCTGCCCGTTCCAGCCCCATTCCAGCCCCATTCCAGCCTCATTCCAAACTCATTCCAAACCCATTCCAGCCCCATTCCCTGCTCATTCCAGCCTCATTCCCTGCCCGTTCCAGCCTCGTTCCAAACCCATTCCAAACCCATTCCAGCCCCGTTCCAAACCCATTCCAGCCCCATTCCAGCTCCATTCCAAACCCATTCCAGCTCCATTCCAAACCCATTCCAAACCCATTCCAAACCCATTCCAGCTCCATTCCAAACCCATTCCAAACCCATTCCAGCCCCATTCCAAACCCATTCCAGCCCCATTCCAGCCCCATTCCAAACCCATTCCAGCCCCATTCCAGCCCCATTCCAGCCCCATTCCAGCCCCATTCCAGCCCCATTCCAAACCCATTCCAAACCCATTCCAGCCCCAAACCCATTCTAGCCCTGTTCCAGCCTCATTCCAGTCCCATTCCAAACCCATTCCAGCTCCATTCCAGGCCCATTCCAGCCCCGTTCCCTACCCATTTCAAACCCATTCAAGCCCCGTTCCAAACCCATTCCAGCCTGTTCCCTGCCCCCCATTCCAGCCCCATTCCAAACCCATTCCAAACCCATTCCAAACCCATTCCAGCCCCATTCCAGCCTCGTTCTAAACCCATTCCAGCCCCATTCCAAACCCATTCCAGCCCCATTCCAAACCCATTCCAGCCCCATTCCAAACCCATTCCAACCCCATTCCAAACTCATTCCAAACCCATTCCAAACCCATTCCAGCCCCGTTCCAAACCCATTCCAGCCCCGTTCCGCCCCGGGCCCTCTCAGCCCTCTCCCGGTGCCTCCAGCCGAGCTCCCAGCGCTGCCAGGCCCGGCTCAGCCCCGGCAGCTGCGGGAAAACGGGAAAATGGGAAAATGGGAAATTGGGAAAATGGGAAAATGGGAAAATGGGAAAATGGGAAAATGGGAAATTGGGAAAATGGGAAAACGGGAAAACTGGAAAATGGGAAAACTGGAAAATGGGAAAACGGGAAAACGGGAAAACGGGAAAACTGGAAAATGGGAAAACGGGAAAATGGGAAAATGGGAAAACGGGAAAACGGGATTTTCCTCCCTCCCTCCCTGCTCCAGGCTGTGCCCCGAGTTCTGGAGTTCGTGTGCGCCAACCCTGAGGAAATCCAGGGAGGTTTTAAGCGCAGTTTAGTTAAAGCGGCCGATTTAGCGTTCAAATGCCTCAAACAACAGCCGGATCCTTCTCTCCCAGGCCGGGCTCAATGGGCCCTTCGCACTTCGCTTAAAGGCCGAACACGTTTTAAGGTCACCGATATCTTTGAAATCGCTTTTTTTTTTCCCTTCCCATCTCTCTCTCTCTTTTTTTTTCTTTTCTTTTTTTTTTTTTTGTTTTGTTTTCGCATCTCCAATAAAGCAGCGCCACTTCCAGAGTTTACAAAATAAATAAATAAAATGAAAGAGTCATTTCCCAAGATTTTTTTTTTTTTTCCCCCCCTTTCTTTCTTTCCCCTCTCTAAAGCGCCCCGGGTCCACACAACGCGAAAAGAAGAGAGAAACCATCAATCTTTTCCTCCAAAGACTTTTGACAGCTCGGCCTGACTCACTCAGCAAAGAAATTTGGCTTTTGCCATGGAGTGGTTTTTTTTTTAAACCCAGGGCAGATTTATAAACTTTAATCCGGGTAGAAACAAAAAAAAAAAAAAAAAATTAAAAAAAAAAAAAGGAAAAATTTTAGAAGGAGACATGAAAATGATGGGAAAGGAGAATTTTGGGGTTTAATTTTGGGGTTTGTTGGAGCTCCAGTTCTCCCAGTTTGCAGCCTGGAAACTTTTGTCACTTGAAGCATCTGCGTGGGTGGGGAGGCGCTGGGAGGCCACGGAATAAATCTAAAGCTCATTTAGCGAGCGGGGTAAAGAAAATAATGATCATAATTAAAAAAACACCCAGCGCAAAACCGAATTTCCCGGAGGATTTGGCAGATTCGCGTACCCAAACCACCCCAAAAATCTGTTTGATATCATCAGAGCAACGATTAAAAAGGAAATAATTGAAATAATCGGGGTTGTGCCCATCGCCGGCGGGTTTGAAGTGGATTTTTGGGGTTTGAAGTGGATTTTTGGGGTTTGAAGTGGATTATTGGGGTTTGAAGTGGATTTTTGGGGTTTGAAGTGGGTTTTTGGGGTTTGAAGTGGGTTTTTGGGGTTTGAAGTGGATTTTTGGGGTTGGAAATTCCTGGCCTTGGAGGAGCTGGGATGAAGAGGAAGAATTTGGGATGTGAAATTCTTCCCAGCCGCTCCCAAAATTGTTTTTGCTTTTTGCTCGCACTCGGAGTCGCAAGGGGAAAAGAAAAATGAAAATAGGGGGGAATGAAAAGAGGGGAGAATGAGAAGAGGGGGAATTAAAAAAAGGGGGAAAAGAAAAGTGAGGGGGTGAAAATAAAGGAAAAATAAAAGGGGGGAAATGGAAAGAGGGAAAAAAAGAAAAATTAGGAAAATGGAAAGAGGAAAAAAATTAAAAGAAGGGAAAATGGAAAAGGGGAAGAATTAAAAGAGGGGGAAACTAAAATATGGAAAAATGAAGAGAGGGGAAAATGGAAAGTGGGAAAAATGAAAAGTGGGGGGATGAAAACAGGGGGGAATTAAAAGGGGGAGAAAATGAAAAGAGAGAAAAATGAGAAGGGGGGAATGAAAAGAGGGAAAAATGAAAAGAGGGGGAATGAGAAGAGGGGGAAAATAAAACCACAGGGAATGAAAAGAGGGAAAAATGAAAAGGGGAAGGAAAATAGAGAGAGGAAAAATAAAAAAAGACAAAAAAACCCTCTTGGGAAATCGCGATTTTTTTTTTTTCCCACGCATCACACGGAGGCACAAAGAGGGAAAAATCTCCAAATTCCATGGAAAAACATCGAATTCCCGGGAAAAATTCCCAGAGCTCCGAGGAGCTCGGAGGGAGCAGCGCTTTAACCCCGCGCGGGAGGAAACGCCGCCCGCCCAGGGCGCGCCCCGGAATTGGAATTTTTTTTTCCCTTTTTCCCTGATTTTCACCATTTCCTGGGAATCCCTGGCGCAACATGGCGCCCGCAGAAATCCGGGAATGGGAGAGGGAGGAGAGAAATGTTCTGTGAGATGGTCCCGAGCCAGCCTGAAATTCAAAATATTTCACAGGCCGGGGTGGGAAATCGCTCCTTGCGGCCTCTGGGTTATCCTTATTTATAATTAGAATTAGTTTATCGTTATTTATAATTCTAATTTTTAGTTATGAACGTGGAAATTGGTCTATGAGAGGTTTTCTTTTGGGTTTTTTTGGTTTTTTTTTAATCCCTCGGGGGTTTATCCTGGCTGGGCACGCAGGTGGATGAAACGAGTGAAATGTCAAATATCTGAAATGTGGAAGTGTGGGGTGGAAAAATGCGGTGTGGGAAGGAAAATATAAAATGTAAAAGATGAAATATAAAGATGAAAGATAAAATGTAAAATGCAAAACATAAAATATAAATCTACTATATAGGCTATAGACTATAGGCCAGATAAGATATAAAATATACGATATATGATATATAATTTAAAATACAAAATATATAAGATATAAGATGTAAGATATATAATATGTCATATATCATATATCATGTCATATATAATATATCCTATATCATAATATATCGTAATATATCATAATATATCATAATATGAAATATATAATATAAAATATAATATATATTAGAAAATATATATTATATCATATATATTATATATATTATCTATGAATACAAAAGTTATAAAAATATATAAAGCATAAAATACAAAACTCACACACTTCTAAGCCCCAACCCCTTTTTTTCCATTTTTTTTTCCTTTTTTTTTCTTTTTTTTTTTTTTTCCTATTTTTGGGTACCTTTTCCAGCTTTTCCACCCTTTTTCTCTCGAAAATGAAAATCCAAAAACTTAAAATGAGAATGAACTGAAATCCAAAATGAAAATGAAAATCCAAATCGCAGGGGACCTTCCCCCCTTCCTCCTCCTCCTCCTCCTCCTCCCCGAGCCTTCCCAGCCATAAAACTTTTATTGCTGCTTTAATGGGAGTTTTCCTACGGCTTTAGAGCAGAAAAAGCGAATTATTCACGGCCTTTCCCCCCGCTCCCGCTGCTGGCCCGGCCTTCCGCTCCCTTTTGCACTTTCGCCTTTTCTGGGCGTGATTTTCCCTCTTTTAACCCAAATTTGGGGAGGTGCCACACACTCCAATTCCAGAAATAATTCCCTTATCTTAGCCAGAACTCAATTCTTTTCGCCAGAATTTAATTATTTAGTATTCAATTAAATCACGTAGAAATTATGGATTGAATTCCTCCTCACTCCCTAGGGTCCCGGATGGGCCATTTTTATATTTTCTTATTTTGGGTTTTTTTGGGATTTTTTTTTTAATTGATTGGTGGGTTTTTCTGGGTGTTTTTTTTTTCCTGTTTGTTTGTTTGTTTGTTTGTTTTTGTTTTTCTTTTTGTCTTTTTTTTTTTTCTCCCGCTCATCGTTTTTATTTATTTAATTTTTTTCTTGATTAATCCCTTTCCCTTTGTTTTCCTTCCCTCTCCAATGGCAGCCCGGCCCTGCCTCCACGTGATCCCCCTTTGTGGGCCCGAATTCCCAGGATTTCACCCCAAACCAGGCTCCTCTCCATCCCTCTCCTTCCTCCCTTCAACAAATTATTATTTTTAATCCCCTTTAATTTTTTTTTATATTTTTTTTTGTTTTTTATTGCTTTTTCCCACCTCAGACCGCAGGGATAGGACGAGATGAAAGCGATAAGAGAAAGTTTTATTCAGGAATTGTTGGGCGGACAGGGCTGGGAGCGAGGGGAGAAAAGAATTTACTGTAAGAACAAAGGAAGAGCTCCGGGAGGAGGGGCGAGGGGAGGGAGCCGCGATGAAATTCTTCTAATTCAGGACTAAACAATTACAGTCTGCTCTCATGCCTCCTGGAGAACTAATTACATTATTCATAAGTACCGAGGGAACAGAAAACTACTGCTTCTCCCTAAATTACAATAACTAAAAAAGGTACAGTGACAGGGGGAACACAATTTCATTTTTTTTCATTTTTTTTTACTTTTTCTTCCTATTTTTTCTGCCTTTTTTTGCTTTTTTTTTTTTTTTTTGAACGAGATACTAAAAAAGTACTGTTTATTTTTTTTTTTTCTCCTTGCTTTTCCCTCATATAAATACCAGGGCGGGTGGGGATAAATAATACAAAAACAAAAGGGAAAAAAAACCCTAAAATATTTTTCAACTGGCTATAACCAATAAATATATCTGAATGTTCACCAGAACACACACCTAACTGAAGGGCGCCTCGAGGAGCGCAGAGCCCTTCAAAGTTGCTTTATTATTATCATTATTATTAATTATTAATTATCATTTTTGCTTTTAATACCCATTATATGTAAACTCTAAGTGCAACAAAGATGTCCCGGCAGGAACGCGTCGCCGGGACATTCCCTCTGCTCAAATACCCTGTTTTCACCTCAGCTCCAGAGGAGAGGAGGAAAGAACCTCAGGATTTCCCCAATTTTATTTTTTTTCCACTCATCAGCCCTAAAAAAACACCTCCAAAAAAAAAAAATTAAAAACCAAAACCCTCCCCAAACGGAGAAATGGAGATTTCACCTCAGCAGAGGCGAAGGAAGGGAAATATTCAGACCTGTCGATTCTTTCTTCCTCTCTTTGGAATTTTGGGAGGGGGGAAGAAAAGGGGGATTGAGGCGTTCCCAAGGGATCCCTCAAGCCTTGCTGGGGTTAGGCCGCTCTTACCCCAAATTTTTAATTTTTTTGTTTGTTTTTGTTTTTGTGGTGTTGTTTTGGAGAGGGGGAGCAGGGCCTGGAGGGACGAGCGCGGCTCCCGGTGTTGGCAGCTGTGGATCTTGGCAGGATTTTGGGGGTTTGGTAGGAAGTTACACGGTGGAAAAGTGGATTTCTCCCTTTTCCAGTGGAAATTGGATTTACCAATTTTTCGGTCAGAAATTGGATTCCTCCTTTTTTCCAGTGGAAATTGGATTTTTCCTTTTTCCAGTCAGAAATTGGATTTCTCCTTTTTCCAGGCAGAAATTGGATTTTTCCTTTTTCCAGTCAGAAATTGGATTTCTCCTTTTTCCAGGCAGAAATTGGATTTTATCCTTTTTCCACTGGGAAATTGAATTTCTCCTTTTTTCCGGTGGGAAATTGGATTTCTCCCTTTTCCAGTCAGAAATTGGATTTCTCCTTTTTCCAGTGGGAAATTGGATTTATCCATTTTTCCAGTGGAAATTGGATTTCCTCCTTTTCCAGTGGGAAATTGGATTTATCCCTTTTCCAGTGGAAATTGGATTTATCCATTTTTCGGTCAGAAATTGGATTTCTCGTTTTTCCAGTGGGAAATTGAATTTATCCATTTTTCCAGTGGAAATTTGATTTCCTCTTTTTCCAGTGGAAATTGGATTTATCCCTTTTCCATTGGAAATGGGATTTATCCCTTTTCCAGTGGAAATTGGATTTATCCATTTTTTGGTCAGAAATTGGATTTCTCCTTTTTCCAGTGGAAACTGGATTTCTCCCTTTTCCAGTCGGAAACTGGATTTTTCCTTTTTCCGGTGGGAAATTGGATTTCTCCCTTTTCTGGTGAGAAATTGGATTTCTCCCTTTTCCGGTGGGAAATTGTATTTCTCCCTTTGCCAGCGGAAAAGGACAACCCTTCCCTGAGGGCTGGGAAGGGAAGCACAGCTGGATCTGGAGAAGGAACTTCCTGGTGGATCTCTTCGGGGTTTTTTTGGACGCAGAGACGCCAAAACTTGCCTGGCGGACTCTCCTCCTTCCCAGCATCCGGGAATTATCGGTGACGATCCAGGCTTGGAAATGACGGATTTGGCCACTTCAACCCTCCGGGATTCCCAGAAAACCACCCCAAGCCCATTTCAGAACATTCGTGTCAAAACCCAGGATGTTCCTCCCTTGCAAAACCACCAAAATCTGTCGGATTTTGTGCTCGCCACAACCCCCAGAACCCCGAGTGCCGCAACCCCGCCAAACCCAGCGAGGTGGGACAGAAACCCAACGCACCCATCCCTGAAAGCCAAACCGCCTGTTTTTCCCCCCAAAAGCAGCCGCCCCTCACAGGTGGGTGAGCTTGGGCGCCTCTTGGATTCTGCCCTGAGAAGTGGCGTGGTGCGGCGCCAGCTCGGCGTAGGCGCCGTGGCTCTCGCACGGTCCGTGGGGCTGGCCCGGCGCCGCCCCGCCGTAGTCCACGCCGGCGGCCTGGTGCTGCGGGAGGTGGTTGAGGCCGTAAAGCGCCGGGCCCGAGGCGGGCAGAGCGTCCACGAAGTTCCCGGCGGCGTAGGCGGGGCTGCCCTGCACGCCGGCCGGCCCGTAGGCCACGCCGTTGGCCTGCAGCACGTGCGGCTCGTACTCGGCCGCCGCCGCGGGCCCGGCGTACTTCTGCTGGCTCGGGCAGCCCTTCATGGGCGCCTGGTAGGCGGCGTTGGCCACGGCGTAGGCGTTTTGGGGGGGTTTGCCGAAGGAAGGCGGCGACGGCGCCTCGTAGGCGCCGCTCAGGGGGTGCAGCGCGTTGAGGAACCCCGCCGAGGCCTGCATGGGCTGCGGGGGGCTGCCCGCCGGCGAAGGGCCGCCGGAGGAAGAGCCGCCCACGCCTTTGGATTTCTGATCCTTTTTGTACTTCATCCTCCTGTTCTGGAACCAGATCTTGATCTGGCGCTCGCTGAGGTTCAGCAGGTTGGCCATCTCCACGCGCCGCGGCCGGCACAGGTAGCGGTTGAAGTGGAATTCCTTCTCCAGCTCCACCAGCTGGGCGCTGGTGTAGGCCGTGCGCGCCCTCTTGGACGCCGAGGAGCCCGGGGGGCTTTTCTCACCGCCGCCGCCGCCGCCGCCGCAGGTTTCTGCCGGGCCCCCGGAATGAAATAAAACAGAATTACTTAGGCGCAGAAATTGAAAGCGTCGCTTCTTAATAAACCCTCCCCTCGCCCGCGCTCGTAATCGTGTCATTTATTAAGAGTTCTGTTCTCCGAAGCTGCCCCTGCCTTATGAAAATTGGATCATGTCATGTAGGAGAGGATCCCGGGCCCCTGAGTGAGGAGGAGATTATTTCCAGGGGATAATTTTCCGGAAAATGACGTTTGGCAGGGCGGCCGTGGGGTCAATTAATATCCGGGGTTGGCGCGCGGGTGTGACACCAAATATTTGCCTCTGCACCGAACTTTTCCAGAGGTAAATTCCATAAATTCCATGGATGGGGGATGAAGTGAGCACCACGAGGTCTGTGTGAATGGATTTGTCAAAATTGGGACAAATCTGAGCCAGAATTTTTGGGTTTTATCTGAATTTATCTGCGAATTTTTGGGTTTTATCTGAATTTATCTGAGCCGTGGTAAATCCAAGCCCAATCTTTGGTTTTTATCTGAATTGTGGTAAATCCGAGCTGAATTTTTGATTTTTATCTGAGTTTATATGAATTGTGGTAAATCCGAGCCGAATTTTTGGGTTTTATCTGAATTGTGGTAAATCAGACCTGACTTTTTGATTTTTATCTGAATTGTGGCAGATCCAAACTGAATTTTTTGGGTTTTATCTGAATTCATCTGAGATCTGGTAAATCCAAACTGAATTTTTGCTTTTTATCTGAATTTATGTGTATTGTGGTAAACCCAAGCTGAATTGTGGTAAATTCCAAACTGAACTTTTGGGTTTCACCTGAATTTACCCAAACTGTGGCAAATCCAAATGGAATTTTTGGGTTTTTATCTGAACTCATCTGAACTGTGGCAAATCCAAATGTAATTTTTGGGTTTTATCTGAATTTATCTGAATTGTGGTAAATTCCAAACTGAACTTTTGGGTTTTATCTGGATTTACCCAAACTGTGGTAAATCCAAATGGAATTTTTGGGTTTTTATCTGAATTTATCTGAACTTTTGGTGGGACACCGGGAGAAGTTGGACGTGGGGGCCACATCTGCTCTGTCTGAGCGCCGGGAAGGCCCCAAACAGAATTCCAGACACGGGTTGGGCAGCTGGGAGAACAATTTCCCCAAATTTGTGTCCACCAGCTGGACCAGGGCTGGGTTCATCACCCGTGGTTGCATTGGAAACAACCCATAAATTAATTCATTAATTAATTAACCAGGACCCTCCCGGGGGTCTTGTGGGGTCCTCTCCCCATCCCGGCAGCCCCTGGGCAGAAATGTTCCAGGTGTCAGCTCCTCCTTCCTCCCTTTGGGATTTGGGGCAGGAAAATGGGAATCTGGGACTACCCCAAACTGATTTCTCAAACCCTTTGTGATTCTTACACCTCCCTTTGGGATTCTGGGCAGGAAAATGGGAATTTGGGTCTACACTAAACTGATTTCTGAAACCCTTAGACCTTTCTTTGGGATTCTGGGCAGGAAAACGGGAATCTGGGACTTCCCAAAACTGATTTCTCCAACCCTTTGCCATTCTCAGACCTCTCTTTAGAATTCTGGGCTGGAAAACGGGAGTTTGGCTCTTCCCTAAACCGATTCCTCCAACCCTTAGACCTCTGTTTTGGAATTCTGGGCTGGAAAACGGGAATTTAGTCCTTCCCTAAACCCATTCCTCCAACCCTTAGACCTATTTTTTGGAATTCTGGATGGGAAAACGGGAATTTAGTCCTTCCCTAAACCCATTCCTCCAACCCTTAGACCTCTTGTTGGAATTCTGGATGGGAAAATGGGAATTTAGTCCTTCCCTAGACCCATTCCTCCAACCCTTAGACCTCTTCTTGGAATTCTGGGCTGGAAAACGGGAATTTAGTCCTTCCCTAAACCCATTCCTCCAACCCTTAGACCTCTTCTTGGAATTCTGGGCTGGAAAACAGGAATTTCGTCCTTCCCTAAACCCATTCCTCCAACCCTTAGACCTCTTTTTGGAATTCTGGGCTGGAAAACAGGAATTTCATCCTTCCCTAGACCCATTCCTCCAACCCTTTGCCGTTCCCAGCCCTCTTTCACCGACTCTTTTTTGCTTTTTAACCTCAACTCTTCCCGGAGGACGAGGCCGGAGCTGCCGCCCACCAGGCCCAGCCATCTACCTGCGCTGGGCGAGCCGCTCTTCTGCTTGGAGTTCTGCCTGGACTCCTTCATCCAGGGGAAGATCTGCTTGGAGATGCTGGCGCCGGGCCCCAGCCCGGATTTACCGGGCGCGTTTTTCCCCGCGCCGGCCTGGGCGATGCCGCCGTCGGCGCTGCCGCCGTTGGGCGACGCCGGCGGCTCGCCGGGCCGCATGCAGCTCCCGTTGAGCTCCTTACTCTTGCCGAGGGACTGCAGGGAGCAGGAGGACCTCTGGAAGTCGTTCTCCACGTGGGAAGAGGCCTGGAACGGCGGCTGGGCGCCCTCGTAGCCGAATCCATTGGCGGCGGCGCCGCTGCCGTAGGAGTAACCCCCGAAGAGCGTGGAGCCGTCGTAGTACGAGGTCTTCTGCATCTTCCGACGGGGATTTTTTGGCTACCAGGGTCTTGACACCCCTATGGCAGAACATTGGCACCCCGAGGCCACGTGACGGCCCCTCTCCAGCTGTCGGGTGGGAGCTGACCTGAAAGGTTAGGAGAGAAAACACAATGACAGCGCCAGGAATCCATCTTGGCGCCTGAAAGGACGCTGACATGAATAGGGTCCCGCGGATCGGCGCGGGGAGCAGATGCTGCCGCCAGATTTCACCCTGCCGAGCCCCGGCCCGGTTTGGGTTTTGGAGGAGTTCCGGGGCGGCTGGCGGAGCCTTTTTTGTCGCCGCTCGTTCGGCTCCGTACGTTGATTTATTCCGGATTTATCCCCCACCCCACGCACAAACAGACGTCCCCCGCGGGGCGTGGGGCGCGTTTGCACGCCCGGAGAAACCCCAAACCAGCACAAAAACGGGAGCGACGAACGGAGAACCACCAAAACCCACCAAAATTTGCTGTTTCTACTGAAATCGCGCGCGGAGCAGCCCCCAAAAACCTCCCACCAGCAGAAATTCAAGGTTTATCACCAGGGTTGCTTTGCTTTTGAGCTGCAAACAGCAAAAATTCATGTTTTTTCCACGGGTAACAGCAAAAATCCCTGTTTTCCCCCAGGTAACAGCAAAAATCCGAGGTTTTTCTCAAGTAATAGCAAAAATCCATGTTTTTTCCCCAGGTAACAACAAAATTCCGTGTTTTTCCCCCAGCTAACAGCAAAAATCCATGTTTTTTCTCAAGTAACAGCAAAAATCCATGTTTTTTCTCAAGTAACAGCAAAAATCCATGTTTTTTCCCTAGGTAGCAAGAAAAATCTGTGTTTTCCCCCAAGTAACAGCAAAGATCTGTGTTTTTCCGCCCAGGTAACCACAAAAATCCATGTTTTCCCCCCAGGTAACAGCAAAAATCCGTGTTTTTCCCCCAGGTAACGCTGTCCTGGCAGACTTGTCTCCCCTTTTTTTGTTTACACAGGAGCTCCCAGCGCCTCTGGAATTCAGGGCAAAGATTCCCAGCAGATGAGAGCAGCGGCAGGAATTCAAAAATGCGATTTCTTCCCCTCTCTGACAGCACAGGTTGAATTTAGAGAATAAATCCCCTTTTTTTTTTTTTCCCCCCAGCACGGTTTTGTGTTTCTCATCCCAAATCCAGGGAGGAGCTGATCCCGAACCCGGTGGGGTTTAATCACTGTCATTATTTTTTGTTTTCTTCTTTCTCTCTCTTTCTCTTGGAAAACAAACGCTTCGCGAGGCCATTTGCTCCTCACTTTCCACCCCTTGGGTTTCCCTCCCTCCCTCAATCCAAGCTCGAAAACTCTAAAAAAAAAAATAAAAACCCAAAAAAAACCCCAATCCAAAGCTTCAAAATCACAAAATTAAACCTTTTTTCTCTCCCCCCCCCTCTTATTTTCCTCCATCTCTTTTTTTCTCTCCCGGCAGAAACTTTCCCCTTCATTCGAGCAGAGCAGAAATACCACGAGAAAAAGGTGAAAATGGAAATATTCGCAGAGGGATTTTGGGCAGGGCAGAGACTCCTGTGCCGCCGGGGATTGATATCCATTGTATATTTAATGGTCTCCCTTGTATATTCAATTTTATCTGGGCCTCTTTCATCCCGGAGAACAAACCCAAACAAACCCCGCCGAGATAAAGCCCAGCGCGATATTTTTAAGTGCCGCGGGTTTAACAGAAGCCACAGCTCGGCGATAAATAACTTTTTTTTGTTTTATTTTGGTTTTTGTTCCCTTTTCCTGGCTGCTGTTTTGCTCCGTTTGCTTCATCCCATCCTCCGAGCGTCCTCCAAGGGACCGCTCGGCTTTTTATTTATTTCTTAATTTATTTAATTTTTTTTTTCTTTCAGGATTATTTATTTAATTTTTTTTTTACCCTGATTAAATCCTTCCCGCATTCCCAAATCCGCATCGGATCTTCCTCGGAGATGCGTTTATTGTCTCAGATCTCGCTGCGAGTTTTCCTCCTCCTCCTCCTCCTCCTCCTCCTCCTCCTCCCTGGCCATGATAAATTTGTCTTATTAAAAAGTAGCCTCCGCTCCCCGAGCCGTGAATTAATTAATTAACAAACAGCAGCGCCTCCATTATGAATAGGTTTGCTGGGAAATATCTGCGAGGGGGCAGAGGTGGGAATTTCTCCAAGGCCTTTCTGTCTGCTCAAGATTTATTTAAAAAAAAATATATAAAAATTTAAAAAAACCAACCCCAAAACCCAAATCAGAATCTCGTGATGCTCGCTAAAAATAGCGGCGATTTATCTTTTTTTTTTCCCTTTAAACTTTTTTCTTTTGGTTGTTGTTTTTTAAAGGGTTCTCGTTGTTTTAAAACGTCCATAAAATAAATTTACAACCCCCTCCGCCTCGCTCGTGGCTCCGCTTTGTACCTCATCTCTCAGCGCCTCACAAATGCCGCTCATTTATCTTCGCCCGCGACGGCCGCAATCCTAATTATTTACTCCAAGGAATTGCTTAGGAAAAGGGGAAAAAAGCCGGGGAAAAAAAGGGAAAAAAGGAAAATAAAGGGGGAAAAATAGGAGGAAAAAAAGGGGAAAAAAAAGACAAAAAAAGACAAAAAAGCCCAGGCAAAATAATAAATATTCGATGTCCTGCTCCAATGAAAGGCGGGCGGGAGCTGCTCCGGCCCGCTCCGAGTTTCACTTTTTTCAGAGATTCCCCAAAAAGTCTTTGCAAGTTCGGAGGGAGAGGGTTTGGGGTGATATAAATTAAAAATAAAATAAAATAAAATGGAATAATTAAGGATGGGGAAGGGGGAAAGTTGAGGCGGGGAAAGCGTTGTGGGGAGGATGAGGATGCTCCGGGAGAAAATAGAAATGTGGGAATGGAGAAGTATAGAGAAATAGAAATGTAGAAGTGTAGAAATATAGAAATGTGGAAGTATAGAAATATAGAAAGATAGAAAAATATAGAAAAATATAGAAAAATAAAATATAAAAAATAGAAAAATAAAATATAAAAATATAGAAGTATAGAAGTATAGAAAGATAGAAAAATATAGAAAAATATAGAAAAATATAGGAAACTATATAAAAATATGGAAAAATATAGAAAAATATAGAAAAATATAGAAAAATATAGAAAAATATAGAAAAATATAGAAAAATATAAATATAGAAGTATAGAAATACAGATATATAGATATATAGAAATACAGAAATGCAGGAATATAGAAACACAGAAAAAACAGAAATACAGAAATAGAAATAACACAAAAATAGAAATATTCCAGCAAGAATCAGGCGGGCGGGGGAAGGGGACGGGAGGAAGCTGAGGCCGAAGGCTCCTGCTGGAAACGCGTCCCCTCCATGTTGGAAAATCCGAATTTCCCGACCTGAGCGCGCCTTTCCCCTCCCCCGCCCCAGCCGGGCTCAGCCCCGGCGCTGAATTCCGGTTTTTATTAATCCCAAATATTCCCCGCGACAATGGGAGGGGAGCGGAGACCGAGCCCAGCGCCGGGAAAAACAACGGAGCATCCCCAAATTTCCTTCCTCCCTCCCCCTCCCCGCGCAACCAACAGCTCCCCTCCGGCTGGAAAAAAAAAAATTTAAAAAAAAAAAATTTACACAGCGCGGAGAGGCGGGGAAAAAAAATTTAGAAGCGGAAGGAGAGGAGGAGGAAAAGAAAATTTAAAAAAAAAATTTAAAAGTGCACGGAGAGGCGGAAAAATAAATAAATAATTTTAAAAACGCGGGGAGAGGCAGAAAAAAAATTTAAAAATTAAAAGTGCAAGGATAGGCGGAAAAATATGATTAAAAAAAAAAGCACAAGGAAAGGTGGAAAAAATATTAAAAAAAATTTAAAGCGCACAAGGAGAGCTGGAGAACAAATGAAATAAATAATTGAAAAAAATAACGTGGGGAGAGGCGGAAAATAAATGAAATAAATAAATTTACAAAACGCGGGGAGAGGCGGAAAAAAAATTAAATAAATAAATTTAGAAAATGCAGGGAGATTAGGAAAAAAATGAAATAAATAAATATAAACACGCGGGGAGAGGCGGAAAAAAATCAGAAAAAAAAAAATTTAAAACGCGAGGAGAGACGGAATAAAAACCCGAAATAAATAAATTTATAACGCGGGAAAAGGCGGAAAAAAAATTTTTAAAAGCGCGGAGGGAGGCGGAAAAAAAACCCGAAATAAATAAATTTATAACGCGGGAAAAGGCGGAAAAAAAAAATTTTAAAAGCGCGGAGGGAGGCGGAAAAAAATTAAATAAATAATAAAAAAGCAAGAGAAGGTGGGGGTGGCGGAATGAAATAAAAAAAAAAAAAACTCGCGGCGCGGGCGGTGGGTGAGGGCTGCAGAAGCGGCTCCGCGTGGAAGGAGCTCAAAGCTGTGAACTCTTCTTGAACCGAGCTCGGAGTCATATGGTCATAAATCATCGGGACATACACTCCGCCATTCACAGCCCATTCCCGTCCGGCTTACCTGAGTCTCAGACGAGCCAAGCCCGGGCAGACATAATATAAATTTTCACTTCCAGCAGCCACGCAATCAATAAGGCAGCAGTGACCCCCCTCCCCTTCCCCTCCCCGCTTTTTTCTGATTTTTTTTGGTTTTTTTGTTTGGTCTCTTTCTCTCTCTCTCTCTCCTTTCAAAACCTTTACGGGGTGAAAGGGTTAAAACGATTAAAATTTAAAAAAAATATATATTAATAGAGGTCGATCCGGGTTTATGGCGGGTGGGGTGGGTTGGGGAGGGGGATGGTTGTATTTTTTTGGGTTTTTTTAAGGATTTAAAGATTATTATTAAATAAAGGGGGTGGAAAGGGGGAGGGGGTTCAGGCGGGCGGCTCAAATTGTGCCGCTCGCTCTGCGATTTTTGGGAAGGGGGAGGTTAAAAAAAATGATAATGATAAAAAATGAATAATAATATTAATAATTTTAAAAAATAGGGGTGTTTCCCAGGTTTTCCCGAAAAGCCGAGCGGGGTTTGGGGTGGCCAAAGGCTGGAGGTTCCACTTGGCCTCTGCCAAGCGCTGCTCACTGATAACAATGGCCTCTGCCTGAGCAAAGGGGAAGAAGGGAGAGGAGAAGGGAGGAAAAAAAAAAAAAAGAGACAGAAGGAAAAAAAAAAAAGAGAAAGCGGCCAGAAATTCAGAAATTCGGAAATTCAAAAATTTAGGATTTTACACCCCCACCCATCACCAGCACCAGACCCCCCCACCCGGAACTGCTGGGATGAAAAGGAAAATTAAATTAAATAAAATTAAAATTACAATGGGAGGGGAAAGCTGCGGGGAGGGGGAGGGGTGGGGATGGGGGTGGGGTGGGGGGATGAGGAGGGGGGATCCCCCCCCCCAAAAAAATTTGGGGTTGGTTTTGGGCTGGGAAAGGGCGAAATGGGGGGCGCGGGCCGGGCCGGGCACGGCGGCGGCGGCGCCCTTTGATCGGCGGGATGAACAATTAGGCGTTAATTTATGCAAATTTATGCAGCGCCCTGGTGTCCCCCAGTGTCCCCCCCTGTCCCCCCGACCCCAAATTTCCATCTTTGGGGTGTCTGGATTCTCGCTGCTGCTACAACTCGGAGTAACCTCAGCGGAGCGACTCCACAACTTTGGGCACATCGAGATGGGCCCCCCCAAATTTCCTTCTGCTCGCACCCCCAAAATTTTGGGTATTTCTGGTGGGGTTTTGAGCAATTCACGCTGTTCCTACAACTCGGAGTAACGTTGGCGGAACTCTGAGCACCCTGAGGGGGCTCCCCCCATTTCCCTTCCCTCAGCCACCCCAAAAACCCCAAACTTCCATTTTTGGGGTGTCTGATTGCTGTTCCTACAACTCGGAGTAACTTTGCACATCCCAAGGGGGTTCCCCTAATTTCCCTTCTCGCGGCCACCCCAAAAAACAAACCCCATTTTTGGGGTGTCTGCTCGGTGTTGCTGCAACTCAGAGTAAGTTCGGAGGAACTTTGCACATCCCAGAGGGGGCTCCCCCCCAATTTCCCTTCTCGCAGCCACCCCAAAAAACAAACCCCATTTTTGGGGTTTCCAAATGCTCGGTGATGCTACAACTCAGAGTAACCTCAGCGGAGCAACTCCACGACTTTGAGCACCCCAAAGGGGCTCCCCCAATTTCCCTTCCCTCAGCCACCCCAAAAACCCCAAACTTCCAGTTTTGGGGTGTCTGGATGCTCGCTGTTCCTACAACTCGGAGTAACTGTGGTGGAACTTTGCACACCCTGAGGGGCCTCCCCCCCGATTTCCCTTCCCGCAGCCACCCCAAAAACCCCAAACTTCCATTTTTGGGGTGTCTGGATGCTCATTGTTCCTACAACTCAGAGTAACCTCAG